CAACTCAAATAAACAAATGATTCAATGTTCACCAGCACTGACCCACACCTTATTTTAGTAACATTCAATCATTAGGACTAACAGACGACAGTTCAAAAGCATATGTGAGAGTGATTATATATGCACAAAAAAGGGATTTTTCTGATAAATCAGGAAAATTAATAGAGAAACAGAAATAGAGAAATTCTCCAACCAATCGAACAAAATCCCTAAAAAAACCAAAACTTGAAAATTGATCTGATGCTCACTAGCGACTGGCCCTATTCAGGCAGTTAACCTAGGTTTCTAGTGGGAAGTCGTGACCATTAGGGTACAGCAGGTTGAAGGTGAGGCAGTAACTCATCGGAGGAAACATTGAGAAGTGGTCGCGTTATGTCATGAATTGGCGGAAGTTAGAATTCATGGTCTGGCCATTGGATCGGTGGGTCCCAGTGGCTTAATGGACTGCGAGCCCGCCTTATAACCACAAGGTCCTGAGCGCGTACTGATGAAGAGTCTCAAACTGGAAAGAAACAGTTGTCCAGTACTCCCTGCAGGTTTTTCAATGGTTCTCTAACTGATGTCATCTCACGATGAAATCCTCCAACCAATCGAACAAAATCTCTACAAAAACCAATAACTTGATAATAGAGAATATAATAATTTATAGATTGCGCAGCAGTTTAGGGTAGCAAATAGTGGTTGGATCTGTTTCTGTTGAAGTTAAAGTATCGTAGCCAAAGCCAAGGTTTTCCAAATAAATTGACCTTCAAGCACTAATCAGATACAGGGGATGCTATGAAAGGTTGTTCCAAATTAAATCATGACTGCCTTTCTGGAGTTGAAGAAGGCAAATACAGTATCCCATTTATTCTCTTGGTACTTTTTCTGTAAATCTATACTGTTAGGTGGGGTTATGACTTTTTAGATTATGGTCTAGTGTTAAGGTTAGAATTAGTAAAAGGTTGAAGTATAGTGTCAGAAATACCAATAGATTTCGAAGTACCATGACCTACAGTCACCTGGATGAATGGATACGTCGCGCATGGTGCGATTTCTCTATAGATCATCTGTGTGTAGTGACTGGGAGACATTCTTACAACACATAAGTGACAATTATCTAGTGTAATATCATGTTTGCAATGTTTTTTAGTGTATTTTTCAACGATTACGCAACTTCTTTGCATCTGAATTCTGATTGGTCGTTCAAGTTCACCATGGTTTTAACTATGATAGAGTTTAACTTCGCTCTGTTTCTTTTGCATGCAGAGCTATGGTTGTTTTAAGCAAATTTCAGTTGCTCCAGCTGTTTAAGATGTTCGGTATTTAGAGGCTTCTGGCAGATGACAGAGAACGTCTCAGTGACTTGAGTTGGTGTAATATAGAACTGTTGATGTTGTTTTTACTGCACCTCTATTTAGCGAAAGTGGTAAGTGTTTCCAAGCAGGGAATATCAAGTTCTTAGAGCAACGGCCATTATAATTCGCTCCATAGAGGCAGGTGAATTGACAAATAGAATAAGAGGTGGATAGCCAAGGTACTTCATCTTTCAGTTTCGCAGTCACAACCGGCCATGTGGAAGATATGAGCGGCAGTTTTATAGGTATTTAACCTTCTTCGAATCAATTTTTTGAACTTGTTAGTTATTATTTCACTTGGTACATCCCCTTTGAATTGCAGTCACATGCATATATAGAGGCTTCTTGTTAACAGATACGGAAGAATTATTTTCTTCTCTCTTGACCATTTGTTTCATGATGAACTCTTTCCAGAGTAGTTGCTTTCAGTTAACGTGTCATATACAATCTAAAGATCTTCCCTACAGTAGCATCTTCTAAATAAATGGCTCTTACCTTTTAGTTGGAATGTTACAAAGCATTATCCAATAGGTCAAGATAGCCACGACATTTTCAGGATTCAAAACGACGGATGGGGGGTTAAACACTCTCCGTGGGAACACCATCGCTCACTGTGAATTAAGATTCATATAGAGTGCTGACGAGTCCCAAATAGGACGAAATTCGCTTCCTGGGTTCCACTACAATTCTGCTCACTACCAACCAAAATAGCTTTTACGATTATCTATACAAACAGTTAAAGATACTTAGTAAAATCCGCTATTTTGGCAACCATCCACTATAATTAGGCTCCCCACACACTCATAAATACGCTGTGTGCAGGAAAACTGTTTGTTATTAGATGGTTGGAGGCAATTGGCCACAAGAAGCCTTGCTTCACCTAGGATTCGTGCTAGTTGGCACTCACCAGTCATCAGTCAGCAAGGGGTATCTGCAATCACCTTGAAGGAACTCATGTCCCTTTTGAGATTCGAACCTACGTCACCACTAAGTGGTGCAGTCAGAGACGTTACCACTGTGTCTAGTCCTTTCTTTGGTCCAGACTAAATTCTATCATCAGTCAGGTTTGCGTTGTGACCACCATTCTAGCTGGTGTGCCATCACACTAATTACTAGTGTCCATTCAAACGATCCAATATGGTCGGTCCTACAGGAGTTCAGTCACGAGCCCTAATAGCTTAGTGGTGATGTCTCTGACTGCACCACTGGGTAACGCGGGTTCGGATCTCAGAAGAGACATGAGTTCATTCAAGGTTGCAGATACGCCTTGCTGACTGACGACTGGTGAGTGCCAACTAGCGCGAAACCTAGGTTAGGTACAGCTTCCTGTGGCCGATTGCCTCCAACCACCTTATATCATCAAATCAATAGGCACCGTGATGGAGAGCTACCCAGAATAGTGGCCACATTGCAAACCTGACTGATGACAGAATTCAGTCTGCACAGAAGACAGGACTAGACACATTACACTAGTTACTGACTGGTGTCCAATCAAAGTAAAACTGTTTGTCGTTGCGATGACAATATTAATCGAAGAAATGCTTTTCAACGAATTTATTATCAAGCTGTATATATATATATACAGCTTGGACAGTTGGGCAGTTCATTGTCGATGTATGAAAAACACCAGTTTTTAAACAAAACGGTAATTTTTCAAGAGTTGGCGTGTAGGGATTTGATTTGTTAACAAGTTCGACCAGGGATTGAAATCAGTTAGAGAATCATTGGAAACCAGCACGGCGTACTGGACAGATGTTTCGTCAGCCTAGTTTGGGACCACTCGTCACCAGTAAGTACTCCCACCAGGGTCCGAACCCAAGACCTTCCGGTTACAAGCAAGGAAGCTTGTAAACCATTCAACCACTGAGACTTGATCTAATTGTCTGATTATATTTAGCGTGACAACCAGCCAATGTCATCTCGGCCAGTATTTGTCCTCATTCCCGACCACCATCTGGTTTCCCCCAGACTGGTCACAACTTCTCAATAGAACTACCTACTCCAGGCAACTTCGCCCCCCCCCTGCAATCAGTCAGCCACTAGCTCGCGCATCAGAATAATTTTCAAGAGTTGGTTTCTCCAGCACTCCATGCTGGTTTTCAAATGATTCTCTAGCTGACATCAATCCATGGTCTAACTCAAAATCAAAACGGTTATCGTTACAATAAGACTTTCATTGCATAAATGTTACTTTAGAAAGATATTAGATGGTTGGAGGCAATCGGCCACAGGAACTTTTGCTTGACCTAGGATTCGTGCTAGTTGGCACTCACCAGACATCAGCAAGGCGTATCTGCAATCACCTTGAAGGAACTCATGTCCCTCCCCTCCTCCTCTTGAGACTCAAACCCGCATCACCACTAAGTGCTTCAGTTAGAGACGTTACCACTGAGGAGCTATTCGGGCTCACCTGATTTACTTCTTGTAGGACTGGTTATATTGGATGCTTTGATTGGACACTAATGTGGTGAGAGCTGTCTGCTAGCCAAAACTGGTAGACAGTAATTTACGTCAATGTTTACGTCCCAAATATTGGTCGTGAGAAAAATAAGAACAAAAACTGATTCAACAACCAATCACAGTAGACTTTGCGTAGGCGGATACAATTAGCATATAGATGATCTGACCTTCAAGAAACAGCCATTAAGAGATGAAAGATTAATTTTCAGAGAGAAACAACCAATCAGAAGACTGTGTTTTTCTGCTAACAATAATCTATAATAATGTACATGAAAATCTACAAATATTTGTTGATTTCCTTAATAAGCAATCTGTTGCCTGACTCTTGCCTTCTGTCGTTACACTAGTAACTAGTGTGATGTGTCTAGTCCTTTCTTTGGTGCAGACTGAGTTCTATCACATCAGTCAAGTTTGCAATGTGGCCACTATGCCACTAGGTGGACGATTGCCTCCAACCACCTAATATCATCAAATCAATGTGTGCACCGTGATGGCGAGCTACCTAGAATGGTGGTCACATTGCAAATCTGACCGATGATAGAGTTCAGTCTGCACCAAACAAAGGGACTAGACACATCACACTAGTTACTAACTAGTGTCCAATCAAAGTAATTTAGAAAGAGGCTGTGTAACGAAACAGTTCAACCTCGATCAAATAAAGCTAACCAGAAAAGATAAGGAAGAGAGACGCGCGCGCAGACACACACATACGATAAGCATAAGACCAAACAAAGATAATTATATTTAATTGGTGGATGGTGATTAGCAGTGGAATCCTGTCAGGATGCGCATTTCGTTCTATTTGGGACTCGTCACCGACTTAACGCACCTGCATTTCTCAGTGAGTGATGATGGCCCCATCGCCGAGGCTCCAACCCAGTGCCCATAGTTTCAAACGCCACCCAAAGCGTTATCCACTAGAGCACTTGGGCCACGAGAGCCACTGTCTCTTGTGCAACGGGTTATATTGATTTAATTGAATTTTTTCATTTCAATTAAAAGATAATTATAATTATAATATAGCATGGACTTTCTCACAATAACAAACAAAAACGAGTAATCAGGATAAATACTTCAAATGTAAACTGTACACACAAATAAACATACAAAGGGAGAGAGAGAGAGGGAAATAAATCTAGCTGATTACATCATCATTATGAAGAGGAGGGAGAGTGTGAAAAAGACAACGACAAAAAAAACAAGAAAAAGAAAAGAGTAAAAGTCTGGAAAAACATGGAATGATGATAATGCTGATGTTGATAATGATGCAGATTTAAGGTTTATAAACAAATTGTCCAGTTTTCAATCGTCTTTTTAATTCACACCAGAGAATTTCACGTTCTCTCAGCGTATTCTGTAGAACTGAACCATTCTCTAGAGCACGTCTTGATAGATAGGGGAGAACTTCTTCAATTGGACCATATGGAACATATTTGTAGACGGAGTAACCAGCTTGACCTTGAAAAAGAAGAAGAAAAGAAATAAATAATAAGTTATTTTTTTCAAAAGAATGGTTACTGAAGAACAAAGAATATTCACATTTTCGATAACCTGTTCTTCATCAGGTTCTACAGTTATACATAAATACATAATAGTGAGTGAATGAATTAGTGTTGTAACGACAGAAGACAAGGGCCAGGCAACAGATGGTTTATTGAGAAAATCAAGAGATAGTTATAGATTTTTGTATACATTATTGTTATCGATAAAGGGACGTCTTCTGATTGGCTGTTTTCTTGCTCAAGGTTATTATTCTGTACTGCTTATGACCGTTTCTTAGAAAGTTAAGCCATATATATCTGCAAATCTTATTTGCACATGTTAAGTCTGCTATGATTGGTTGTTGAGTTCCTCACAAGGTTAAGCTTTGTTCTCTCTTTTTTTCTCATGACCCCGATTCGGGACGTAAACATTGACGTAAATTGTTGTCTACAATTTTGGCTTACAGACAGCTCTTACCACAGTGTTATTACCAACTTTAATGTGAATAGTTCTTTTCAACTATCTTAGTCACATGCTTCCTGATGAATTTCTCTGGATAGCTATTTTCAATCATGGTATCATGTACTATCCTTAGTTCATCTTCATTGACCTCTTCTGAGCATATAGCTCTAATCGTGTGGCAGAGGGTCCTTACTAAATTGAAAATAGCTATCCAGATAAATTCATCAGGAAAAATTTGACTAGGATAGTTGAAAAGGACTATTCACTATCCGTGAACAAGGAATCTTTATCCATACGACTGCAATTCAATGGCAATATATCTAGCGAAATAATTACAAAGAAGTTAAGAATTTCAGTTCAAAGAACTTTTAACTCTGGCAAACTACAAGTGTTATTTTTTTACACGATAGGTTGTGATTTCTAAATTGAAAGATGAAGTACCTAGGCCAGACTAGCCACTACTAATTGTGTCGGTCGATCCAACTGCGCTTGTGGTGGAGCAAGTTATATTAGCCATTGCTCTAGGAACTTGATTTGTTGTGCTCCCTCGGGAACAGCTACCAGTATGGCTAAGTAGAGATGTAGTAAAACCCATCAACAGTTCAACATTACACCACCTGGTCCAAACCTGCCACAAAACTAGCTAGCATTGAAGAATCCTTTTCCATCCTCTACCGGGTATCAAATAAATTGCCGAAACCATCCAGGTCACACATACTCCGAACAACAGACGCCATCACAATTCGCCTGAAACAACTTGTGTTTTGTGTGCAGAAAAAACAACTCCAGCCAGCCACTATCACTGCCCTGGGTGGCCTTCAGTGGAGACTATAAATTCCTAATTTCTCTGTCTGATATTCAGTGTGTAGTGTTATGTTGATGCTATCTGAGTGAAAGTCATTGGTATTATTATTATTATTATTGATTCGATGTTATTTAAACAACATTAATGTTGTTAATAATAACACTAATTCATCCACTATTATGGATGGGTATATAACTGTAGAATCTGGTGAAGAGTAGGTTATCGAAAAGAATATTCGTTGTTCAGTAACCACTCTTTTAACAATTTATTATCAAAGCTGAAATAAGAGTACATTTAAATGGAGATGATTATATAACAAACTGGTTGAAGCGGCCTAGTTGAATAATCATCGGCTCGGCTACAATTGCGAACCGCAATAAATCATATTTTCTCTCATTCTTATTGTCTTAACCATTCTATTGAAAAGAAGAAAAGACCGGTGAGTCTCGAAGTCAATGTTTATAAGGACAAACGCATTGTAGGTACATCAATTTAGTATACCTTATCATCTAAGCTTTTCTTTACACATCAATAGTAAATTGGTAGAATATCACCACATGTGATAGCTTGTTGGATTCTGCACAGTGTTGCAACGTTCTTCTCTTCTTCGATTGTTGTTTTTCTAGTATACAAAACATATTATTACATTTTTGAACTCGTTTACTGATATACTACTTATGTCTGGTTATAAGTAGCACTCACTACAACATTATGTTTTTGAGTCACATAATGTACTCATGTACATTTTCAAGTTGTCTTTCAAACCTGCCGGTGAGCATTTTGCGGGGAGATGATGGAAAAATACCAGAAGGGATTGATGAACAAGTAAGTCTGTGCATCAGACCTATAATACAGCATTGCATCACATGATATACTATAGACTGTTATACCCTGTTTGAAGATCGTGAATGATGAGGAAATATTACGCTGAGAATTATATGTACACTGTGGAAGCATTTACTTCGGAAAAAAGCTATTTATTTATCTATTCAATTATTATTGCTAAAAGTCAGCTTTAATTTGTTCCCAATGGAACACAGGGGGGGGGGGGCGGTTTCAAGCTCGAGCTTTGAAGTTCCTTCCGGTAACAGTGGCGTTTGTTACTCTTAGATGGAGTTGCTAGTATCATGCCGAACTTTCCCTCTTTACCGATCTTATTACCGGCTTAGCGAGGTTTAAGAGAGTGCGTCGGCCTGGGATCGAGCCCTGGAACACATGCGTGGTTGGCGAGCTTTCTATCGCTAAGCCACCGATGCCTTTAATTTGTATAGAGTAGTGTGAATGGGTGAAAGTTGCAGTAAACTACGATCAGACAGATGACCAGTACTGCTTACTAGTTTTCAATGGTTCTCTCAACATTGTCAGTTTGTGATCTGACTAACTAACTGACTGACTGTTATGACCGGAACTATGACCCAGTAGACTCTGAGTGAATACTAACTAATGCGCTGGCGAATCTGTCCTAATCTCACGTCAAAAACAACAACAACAACAACAATATCGCCAGGCCACAAAGACGGAAGAGAAGACTGGACTTCGTTAAGAGGGCTTTTACTGTGTCAAAACAACAGTCAAGAAAGGTTGACAGAGCTTGTTTATATATATATGTTTAGAATGGCCTTGAGAAGCACTAATGCCATTAATGAATTAAGGCAGTGAACAACCAATAGAATTCTAAAGGTCATAAGTAGGGTGAGAGAAAGTTAGGTCATAAATCAATAAGTGGGGTGAAAGAAGTGTAAACAGACATGTAAAAATTACATGTAGGAAATTAGGTCTGCATATATCACTGGCTGAGTGAGTTTCAACATAGAACGTTTCCACATAAGTGCAGAAGTTCAACGTACCACACCAAGATAGACAAAAGAGATTTGAAAGAATTATAACGAGCAGAAATCCACGGGAGAAAGAATAATTACATGGAAACAAATGATAATTTTATTGAATCTGAGGAGATCGCACAAACATTGAATGCATGTATCCCTATGACAACGATTTTGAGTCATATCATCACCGATCGTCTAACTCAAGCCATCGGTTCTTGGCAAGCTGAGGAACTGAACCAGTGGGGTAGTCTACACACACCCCTAAGTGGATGGATGGCTAGGTGGTTGGCTCAGACCACCACAAAGTCAAAGACTTCATGAGCTGATGGCAGGTTTTTGTGGTAGAAAATAGACACCAAACAAATGTCTGCAAACTAATAGTTGAAACGTATTAAGAAACAGGTAATTGATTTGGGCAGTTCTGATTTAATGATAATAATAATACTCTGCTTTATTCCAAAAACAGCAGTACTTATAATACAGCATTAAAGTTTCACCATTTGTCACAATATTGCATCTAATTTACTCTAAATATAAATAAAAGTAACTACAGGCACTTTCCCACATTTACAGCAGGAATAAATTCCAAAGTGTGCAAAGTATAAAGTGAGAATAATAAATATAATAATAAGAACAGTAGGTTTGTTTCAAACATTATTGTTGATATGGTGTAGAAATCTTGCCATACTGTAGAATATTGAATCTAATGTTCTCTCGGCATAGCATGGTGAACGGAGTAACAAAAAATAAACAACTAATCCTTGAGAAACCAACTATAGAAAATTAATCTGATGCTCACTAGTGACTTGATACAGGATGGAGTTTCCTGGAGTTCTCTAGTGAGAGAAGTCGTGATCAGTGAGGTTTATCCAGTCAAGTGCTTGAGGATGGATGTCCCACTGACGACACTGGTTGGGGTCACACTAAATCACGAATCGGTAAAAGTTAGAATTCATGGGTTGGCCATTAGATCGGGTCTCAGTGGCTGAATGGTATACGAGCTTGCCTTATAACCGGGAGGTTCTGGGTTCAAACCATGGTGGTGGGTGCGTACTTCCGATGATTCCAAAACTAGGATGAAACAGCTATCTAGTACTCCGTGTGGGTTTTCAGTGGTTCTCTAACTGATATCATTCCGTGATCAACTCGTAAAAACAAAACTAATCCTCACAAACCAAATATAGAAAATTATTACAGAGAGCTTAAATGATGTTTACGCTTATGAGAAAATAAACAAGACAAAAAGATTGAGTGGATTATAAATATAAGAAGAAGAAGAATAACAATAAAGCTTAGTGGAATAAGGATGGAGTAAAATTGTTTATTTACTAGTGGAAAGAAAGTGAGTTAGTTAGTTCGTGCCTGATACTATTTTCATCACATAAAATATGTGCCAAATATGGTATCATGGAGTTTTTATGCTTAAACGTGCGCGCATAAAGTTTTTTGATGAAATGACTTCTTGTTCTACTTGAGGAGATGCAAGGTGAAAACTGAGGGTAAAGTGGATGCTCAAAGTCTGACAAAATCTCTTTAGCAAATTTATTGCATGAAATCAGGTGCCTATCATCAATGACAATGGCGATGACATGGCCCAATGGGATACCATTCACCCATTTGACTGACAGTCTTCAGAGTTCTACGAAGTATGACATAGTCCTATTTTAAGCAATCTAGAGAAAAGAATAAGGGTGAACAATAAAGAAGAGGTAAGATGCACGAGTTGACAAACTGTAAGAGTAGGAGGGGTTGAGTTACGCCCCATAGGTGAACTAATAACGAAGAAATTGACAACTGACACAATCCTTTGTCGCTTACACTAACCTTAACGATTCTTACAATCGCCTTACACATCGTTAAGATGAGATTTAAGTAGACAGTTT